GGTGCTTTCTGCCAGAGGCTCCAGGCGGGGCCGTTCTCCCCGGCTGCGGTGTAGAGCACGTTTTTTACATCTTGCCCTGCCCGGACTGGCCCTGGGGCTACTGCATGAACTCTCTCCTCTTTAATTTGTTCAAAAGCTTGTCGTTGCTCAGGGCCCCATCTGAAATCGTTCTTCTTTCACGTCACTTGATAGGGAGGGTTTACAATCAGACTGTAATTTGGAATATGCATTCTCCAAAAACCCACGACGCCTAAGAACGCTTGAGTTTCCTTTTTGCTAGTTGGTGGAGACATGGCTGTTATTTTATTGATCACATCCATTGGGGTCTGACGACATCCATCTTACCATTTTATTCCTAAAAACTGGATCTCCTGTGCAGGTCCCTTGACCTTATTTTGTTTTATGGTAAAACCAGCCTTCAGAGGATTTGGACTATTTTCTGTTTAGCAACAACTAAACCATCGGTGTGTTATCACATTATTCTCATCCTAAATCCAAAACACAGCACTGTACCAGCTGCTAGGACGAAAATTAACTCTATCCCTGCTGAAACCAGTACAGTGATTAACAAATAGTTGCTCAATTTATAGCCACTAGAATTAAAAAAAACCCCACCAACAAAACAAACCATCACTAAGAAACGGACAAGCCTTCAATTGACTAAATTAAGGCAAAAGAAAAGCAAAAAAAAAAAAAATAGCACAAAGAATGAAAACTAAAACTGTTAGGAGCTGAAGAATTTAACTGGGTTTGGTAGTACAGACAAAAATCAGTGTTTTACATTCAAAGTAATGAATGCTTATGAAGTATAAGTGTTCCCAGAACGCTTAGACGTAGCTTAAATACAAAGTTTTATTAAAAATAAAATTTGTAAATCCACACAAGACCCTTCGCAACACTAGCTTCAGGGCTCCTCCAGGTTTGTTTCCACCTGACCGAAATTGATCTTCCTCCATTGATTTGCCTGGAAGCGTCATAAAATGCCTGCTCTGGGGCTCCGCGTTAGTACAAAACCGGTTCTCCCTCTGGAGCTTCCTACTGCTCGGACGGAGCGTGAGAGTAGGAGAGGAGTAGAGTAGGAGACTAAACTCCGAGAGGAGCGGAGTTTAGTCCCGCTGCATATCTACCAGGGTATGTGACAGGTAGTCTGCCGTTTAATATGAAAAGCAATAGAAAGACCACACTCCAACAACTAGGATT